GAGGTCGAGAAGAAGGAGGTGGCCGGGCCGGCACTGAACCCCCGGGTTCTTCGCAATGATAGCATTGCCAGGACATGGTGGAAGAAGGACGATACCTTCTGGGTTCCTCGCGCCAATGTTATTGTCAGCTTGAAGACACCCCTCATATACGCTTCGGCAGAAAACAACGTCAAAGCTCGACTATTCTCAGACCTCGTCCGTGATGCACTCGAGGAGTACTCGTACGACGCGGAGCTGGCTGGCTTGCAGTACAACGTCAGTCTCGATTCGCGCGGTCTGTTCTTGGACGTTAGCGGCTACAATGATAAGCTTCCCGTGCTCTTGGAACAGGTCGTCACCACAATGCGAGACCTGGATATCAAGGAAGATCGTTTTGAGATTGTCAGGGAGCGCTTGATCCGAGGATACAGCAACTGGCAGCTGCAATCATCCTATCACCAGGTTGGCGATTACACTAATTGGCTCAATGCCCCCGAACGGGACTTTATAGTGGAGGAGCTCGCAGCAGAGCTTCCAAGTGTCACATTGGAAGGTGTCAGGCTATTCCAGAAGCAGATGCTTGGCCAGGTCTTCATCGAAGTGTACGTACATGGTAACATGTACAAAGAGGATGCTCTCAAAGCAACCGATATGGTTGAGTCTATCCTGAAACCACGGGTTTTGCCCAAGGCCCAGTGGCCCATTCTGCGGTCACTCATTCTGACAAAAGGTTCCAACTACGTTTTCAGAAAGACTCTCAAGGACCCTGCCAACGTTAATCACTGTGTTGAGACTTGGTTTTATGTCGGTAGCAGAGAAGATCGCGACATTCGGACCAAGACTCTCCTTTTAGACCAGATGCTCCATGAGCCAGCCTTTGATCAGCTCCGGACTAAGGAGCAACTCGGCTACATCGTTTTCAGTGGACCTCGAGCTTTCTCGACGACTTATGGCTTCCGCTTCCTCATCCAGAGCGAAATGACACCAGAGTTCCTTGACTCGCGTATCGAAGCCTTCCTCATGAGATATGCAGACACTCTGGAGAAGATGAGCGAGACAGAATTCGAGGGCCACAAGCGAAGTCTGATCGTCCGGCGTCTAGAGAAGCTCAGAAACCTGGACCAGGAGTCCACTCGTCATTGGAACCAGATCACAAACGAATACTATGACTTCGAGCTTGGTGAGTTAGCAGAGAGCATGTTTTATGTGGTGAACATATACTGACCTTCTACATAGCCCAGCGCGATGCCGCACAGATTAAGCTCCTGACCAAACCTGAGGTCATCGATTTCTTCAACCAGCGCCTCAACCCTGCCTCCAGTCACAGGACACGGTTATCAATTCATCTTCAGGCTCAAGGCAAGGCTGAAGGGGTCGACAAGCGACAGGAAGAGGCTCAGAAGAAGGCCGACGAGGAGCCCTCCCCTGGAGATGCTGTAAAGACGGCCGAAGAAATCACTGATGTCAGGCTTTACAAGGCCGGCCTTGCCGCAAGTTCAGGGGCCAGACCCATCAAAGACATCAACGAGTATGAGGATACGGATGCAAAGTTGTAGAGGTTATGTTGGGTCTTGAAATTCTCTAGGTTAATGACTTTATGTTCTTGAAAAGACAAGTTGGAGGTGGGGGTCACATCTAGACAGAGACGCAATACATTGACATTAAATGGTAGAGGCGAGAGGAAACTGGACAGCAGGAATTAGGGGTTTGTACTGGTATTTAGAAACTCGTTTTAGCGAGTCGATTGTGTACATGACTATAACAGCGGTCGATCGCGCTGGGGCAGCCTTTTGTTGAGACACAAAATGAGATGTGACTTGGTGACGATACAATTGGCCATTACGATTACAAAGCTCAGGTCCGTGACTAAGAGGGAGAAGAACCAGAACCTACCTAGTCTTTTGCACTTCAGAGTTGTCTCCTACAGTAACAGTTGTAAACCAGAGCATTGCACCTGGGCAAGGGATAGAAGACAGCTAATAAGTAACATACCTAGGTGAAACAACCAAAGATCCAATTCAACGTCAAGGTAATTCACTCCAAGGACATCCAATTGCAAGTTAAGCACAAGCCCCAAGCCTTGTGGTCAACTCTGGGTGATTAGTGGGCGCACTTCTGATTTGAGTGTGGGGGAGAGAATGGAAGTTAAAATAAATGCAAGCAAATCTATGGAAGATTCTACCCATCAGAGGAGTTATTTTGCGATTTATTTAGTGATCCACGACTTGTTAAGTCAGTATTTTCTTCATAGCCAAGGTCAGGCTTTGTAGTTATGTATTGATGTACGTACATCATATAGGGACCTCTCTAGGTAAATGTATAAGGTAGTATATATGAATGGTTTGCCCAGGCCATAATAATCTCAACAAGCTCGGTTTTCCTCTTGATTCATCATTATCGCTGCCTAAATGTACTAACTTGACCTTAAATAGGTACCTGGACCTAAGTACTATGGAAGGTAATCGTACCTAAGACTCGAGTCAATGGAACCTGGAATGGCCGCCCCACACTGTAGGTCGTTCTCAGCGGTCAGAGCCCCAATGCCATCATTAAAAAAAATTATAGAACCTGTTCAAACCCCCCGCCTTCCTCTGTGAAAGAAAAAAAAAAAGAACCTATCCAAACTCTTACACGGCCAGGCTCTATTGGTTTGGACCTGTCCTGATTCAGAGTAAATGCAGCGAGACTGTTGTCCTTACTCGTGCCTTGGCCACCACCAGATTTATACATATACTCCCAGTCTACGTCGACTACTTATTTGCCCTCAAAACTCGTTTGACTTCAAGGATAGGAACATAGATTTTGTCTTCCGCCTCCGCCTCCGCCTTCGTCCCTCCTACTCATACCTAGACCCCCCGAGCTGCCCGGGCAGCTCGCCTTCAAGACGTCGTCCTCAAAGAAGAGAAAGCTCTTGCGAAGCGATCTACCTCTAGACTCGGTTGATTCATCGTCGCCCTCTCCTGACTCAGTCCTACCCTCTTGCGAAGTCGACGACGATCCCGTTCTCTCCTTCTCCGCCTCCGTGGCCTCCAACTCGAACTCGTTCCTGAGGGCCGACTCACAACCCGCCTCGAGCCTCCCCCCTCGCCTCCAGCATCAGACAAGTTCTTTCGTTTCGGCCGATTACGCTTCATCCACTGCCTCGAGCCCCTGTGCATCTGCCTACGCCGATCTTTCCATTGAGAGTGATCGTGGCGGCGACGAGACTGGCCCGGTCCCGACTTTGGCTTTGGCCAGAAGCCAGTCTCCCTTACGTCTCTCCCACCGAGCTATCATGAGTGGCGATGCCGACCTGCCCCAACGCTCGTCATCGCCTTTGAAACGACGTGCTTCCAGTATGGATCCCGAAAACGTTGCGGATAGGACCCGCGATGTCGACATGGGTACATCACAAGCCAACGAGTCTATGGCGGGGGCCTCACAGCTGGTCCCTGAATCGCTGCCTCGTGATATGAGTGTTGAAGCGCCTGAGCCCACGGCAGGCTCGCCTGCTGAGGCTTTCCCTGCGCAGCGTAAGGCTCGCCATGTTTCCGATTTGCAAGCACCGCAATCCGTCGCTAATTCTAGTTTCCTAGCAATTCCTTCGCTGCAAGAACAGATCAAGATCATAGAGACTCTCTTGAAAGCCTATCAAGAGGCGCAAGTGAAGGAAGGGGACAAGGCCTATCTCGTCTCTAACACTTGGGTCCAAAAAGCACTCTCATTACGCGGCGGCCCCAAGGACAGCAAGGAGGGGGATTCCACCTCGGACCCTCTCGGCCCTGTTGACAACTCGGATATCATTGAAGAAGTCGTTACAGAACCTACTGGCATCGAATACATTCGTCTGAAGCAAGGAACTAACGAGAATGAATTCACACTCTTTCCAGAGGATGCTTGGAAGATGGTTGTTGACTGGTATGGTATCAAAAACGGTCAAGAAGCCATTATTCGTGCTGCCATCAACACTGCGGAACTCGGCGAAGAGCCTGTCATTCAGTTCGAGTTCCACCCTCCAGTTTTTACTGTTCACCGTTTATGGTCCGAAATTAGCCCACTTCCCATCGAGCAGTCCCTCAAGGCCAGAAGCCCTCCTCCTTACAAGTTCGTCAGAAGTCGCAAATACCATGCACAGACATTTGTCAAGGAGATTAAGACAGCCACTGGTGTGCCGCTAGACCGCAAAATTCGTTTGTTTATGGTACCTCAAGTCCAGCAGGTTTCTGGTCCCTCTGAGCCCTCACGAGCCCTCACGCCTCCGGACTCCCCAGGTCGAACAGACAACAGGGCTGGCTCTACAGACACATGGTCGAAACTTCTCCTCGACAATGTTTCCTTTTCTCAAGTCCGTGACCAAAGGATCAAATGTAAGCTGGAAGACAGGACCACTGACCCCAATTTCAACGGCAGTTCAAACTTGACCATGTTCGACCTCGTGACAGATCAAACTCTGGTCATCGATGAGGCCATCGACTCATTCTGGGTTAGCAACTACACTGGGAAAACTCCTCCGAATGGATTAGCCATCCCCACCAGAAGTGGTCTGGCCTCTTCTGATGCGAGCGGTCGAAGCAGTCCCGCTCCCGGTGGCCCATTAACACGCGGCCGAACGGGAAAGAAGTCGGGCCGGAGCATCGGCGTTGTTGGTTTGCAGAACCTAGGAAATACATGTTATATGAACTCTGCACTTCAATGTGTACGCAGCGTTGAGGAGTTGACCAAGTACTTCTTGACCAATGAATATCTTGATGAGGTCAATAAGACTAACCTCCTGGGATACAACGGGAAAGTTGCAATAACCTATGGAAACCTTCTGAAGGAAATATATACGGAGGGCAGGGGCTCCGTGACTCCTCGAGACTTCAAGAACACGATCGGCCGCTGCCGGTCGACTTTTTCTGGCTATGGGCAGCAGGACTCCCAAGAATTCCTTGGATTTCTCTTGGATGCTCTTCAGGAAGACTTGAGCCGAGTGAAGAAGAAACCTTACATCGAGAAGCCTGACTCCACCGACGACATGATCAACAATCCGGAAGCTATCAAGGAAATGGCAGACAAGGTCTGGGACATAACGCGCCTCCGGGACGACTCAGTCATTGCCGACCTCTTCACAGGTTTGTATAAATCAACACTCAAATGTCCTGAGTGTGGCAAGATCAGCATCACGTTTGATCCTTTCAACAATCTGACCCTTCCTATTCCTGTCGAGGACGTTTGGACGGCTAAAATCAAATTCTTGCCCCTCAACGATGTGCCGGTCATGTTTGAGGTCGAACTGCCCAAGCACAGCGCTATCGAACAGCTCAAACAGTTCCTCTCCGCCCGGACAGGTGTACCTGTGGAGCGATTGATAGGAGGAGAAGAGTACAAGGATCGCTTCTTCAAGATTTACGACAACAACCTAGATGTTAGCGAAGAAATCGCCAAAAATGATCTTGCAACCTTCCACGAGTTGGATGCTGTCCCAACCAACTGGCCACATAAAGCAAACAAGCCACGCTCCATGCTGGATATCGACACTCCTCTCGAAGCTCCCTGGGATGACCCACGGTATGAAAGGATAGTGGTACCCGTATTTCACCGCATCCCATCAAACTATGGTCGTGCTCGGGATGGTGTGGCTCCCCCAAGCTTCATCTGCTTCAGCAAGGAAGAAGCTTCCGATATTGACCTCATTCGATGCAAGGTCCTGGAGAAGATCTCGAACTTCTCGACTTGGTCCAAGCTTAGGAACGGTCCGGAGGAGAACTCTGATATGGCTGACGGAGAGGTGGTTGCTTCGGATGCTGACTCGTCTGGTGATAGTAAGGTTGTCGCCAACTCGGTTGAAGGTGAGGATGACATTGTAGATGTGCATATGAAGGACACCAGCGAGGCTCTTCCCCATCAGCCACAGATTCTGAAGCGATTCAACAAGAGCAGACCCAGATTTATCGACCCAGACAGCTTCCTTGAACCTGAACTGCAAAACCTTTTCGACCTTTGCTACTTCACAGACAAAGCCTACTCTGGCGATGTGCCAACGGGCTGGTCCAATGTCGATCACCATCAATTACTCCCTAAGTTGTCGGATCGCATCCCTCAACTGTCACTCGACGATGACGATACCGCCAGTCGTGACGACGAAAGCAGCACGCCTTCTAATGAAGACGTAAGCAGCAATGACGAGAGTATCAAGGCGGAGACGACACAGACTAGAATGGTGGAAGAGTCCAGTGAGGAAGAAGTCCCAGAAGCTCCACGAGTAGGTCTCTCTATTAGCCTGTCTAACAGCCCCAGCGCTTATACAAAACAGAAATTCAATGGGCGTCCCTCAAAGGTCAAAGGACGCAAGTTCAAGGGCCAGAAACTCAATAAGAAAGCCAACAAGCGCCGCGAACGTACGCAGAACAAGAAGTACAAGGCAGCTTCTGTCAAGCCCCAGCCTCAACCTCCTGCTGTTGCTGATGGCGGACCTCTTATTCGTCTGGGAGAAGGCATTGTGGTAGACTGGCACGAGGAAGCTTGGGATAAAGTGTTTGGTGGCGCTGCAAAGATCCCCGCTGATGAACAAGGAGCTCCAACATTTATTGATCTG